TAATGGTCTACGGGCTAGCTGTCCTTGTAAGCAGAAGGTGCTGGGTGGGTGCATACTGTGAAGAGTCCCAAAGTAGGAATAAACAGCTATCCAGTACTCCCAGGTTTTCCAATGGTTCTCTAACCACGACAAAATCCTGCAACAAATCGGGGGTAGTCAGATTGTCAGGACATAAGAATTTAGCTAAGGTTAGAATGAATGGTCCCGCGAAGGTAAATAATTTATAAAAAAGCTCATCACCAACACTGTATATACTAACATATAACCGCACAATAAGGTGAGAGAGGGTTAAGATTCTAAAAAATAATATAGGTAGGAAACATAGAAAAAACTACTACCAATCAAGTCAAGCTATGAAAAATAATGGAATTATATGAACGAAGATGGAAAGTCTTGTGAGTAGCCTGATGTGATTATGAGCAATAATTTGTGCTCGAAAGGTGGTCATCAGTAAATATTACTGTATAATGCTATGAGACTCTAACAAAATAAATTCTCTCCATAATAGAATCATACCCTACCACAGTGCACAAGTTCTATTTTTATATCAGTGTTTGACTGATCCCATAAAGTATAATACTATTTGAAAAAATTTTACACCAATATTTTTCTACAGACTGAAAAATCAAAGGCTTCTAAAATGATGATGAGAGAGTAAATTAAAGTAGAAGTTGGTGAATCAATCCTCCTCGTTGATTCAGCAGTCCATACCTATAATCTCATATAGGATCTAGTCTAAAATATACAAATATAGCAATGTGCACATTACAATAAAAAAAATAGCTGCTTCCAACTTTAATACTGTTTCTTTACAGTTTTAAATAACTTCGAAGTTTATGGCAGACATAGGATGTTATCCTACTACTACTATTTCTGCTCAGTCTTAAATGTTACTCAACAAGCAATTGTAATTCCATGCAGTTGGCAGTTACAATACCCCAGGCTACCCAAATCTCTTTGCGTGGAGAACGGTTACAACTCTTGACACACAAGTTGGAAGACCAGAACCTAGAACAATGAGCCCCAGCTCCACTACTATCTTTACAGTAAATGATTAGATGAACACTTTTCTTAATTCAATACATATATATATATATGCATTTATATATATATATATCAAATAAAGAATGCATAAGTTCTAATTCCATCAAGACGCAACTTAAAGTAAGTTATGCATTCTGAGCTGTTTTTTATCACATTAATTAAGAATGCACTGAAAATGTTTTATAATTCATACAAGTATAGAGGAAGTTAAACTTTAGAACCATAAAGTGCATAAAAACGGCGATTTTCGCGCAATAAAATACTTATATTTATGAAAATAATGAATAAAACGGCATTTAACTGTCACACAGGTTACATAATCCTGACATTTGACAAAAATGCCTCTCTTTTTGGATTGGAGTGTCAATAGAGTTATAAAACCACGTTCTATACATGTATTCATCTAACCCTAATCTTTCCTTAACCTTTTTATAACGCCAAACTATCCCCAATCTAACTCGAATCAACCCTAGTATATCCCTTATTAGGTTAATCTAACCCTAACATGTCATTATCCTAAACCTAAACTTAATCTTTCCTAGAACCAACCTGAAACTTACTAGATATCCTGTTTAATATCATAACATTTTATTTGGAATATTTTATTCATGATTATTGCGTTATTTACTCTGTTTCACTGACCTGCTGAGTGACCATTCCTAGGTCATTGGTGTGGTAGCCCTCCTTCAGTGCCTAAAGTTTAATTTGACCTAAATATGTGACAAAACAAAGTTGAAGTTTTCAGCTGTAAAGGTGTTTCTTTTCATGTTTGAAGGAGTCATATTATCATCTCTTCAGTAATCATTTTAGATAATAAGTATTATCAATAGGTCTGTGTGGTATCTATACTCACCAGTCAAGTTAACCGCTTCATGAAACATCAGATAGATTATCAGTTGCAAACAATTTCCAATTTATTTCGCGTGTATATTATGTACATACGATTGGTTATATAACACTGGTAAAATTGTTAGTATACTTAGAAATTTATTGTCAACAGCATTGTTAAGTAACTTTCAATTTCATCAAGTGGATTTAAGGTTTCATTTTAATAAGACATATAATGCTTATACAAACATTTTTGTCATTTATTGTTTGAGCAATTATTCTTCATAAAATTATACTTATCATAAAAGCAAAGTATTGAAAACACACATAATCCAGGATTTATTTAAACCAGTTATAGTAACAATAACAACAATAATTAATAATCTATTTTACAAACCGGAAATTCAATTAACAATATCGATTTCAAAACAAGTTTCTCTTTCTCCTATTTTTCGTTTCCAATCATCACAAACTTGTGAATAAATGATAAGTTTTCTCCTCTATTTTTGTAGAACCTTTGAAATATTTCATATCTAAAAGCTAAAAGTGAATGCGTGATGGAAAACTAAAAAGACAAAATCAACAGTGAAACACGAATAAATTCTTCATGATATTTAGTAATAAAGAAATCTTTTCTTACGCTTTTCAGTTCTGTCGTCCTTCCTATATATGTATAGATATATATAAAGTGTTTTGCGCAAATGTTTTCGTCACTTAGTAGCTATATATCTGCGTGTTTTTCAAATATATATATATACATGTGTTCCTTTTGCCTTTTCTAACTTTACTAGAAGAAACAAAATAATAATAAAATGATTTTATATTTCTTGCGCAAATAAATGTTTGTAAGATATACTTCCCCCCCCCTCTTTATCTTCTTCTCTTCATCTCAGATCTATAGAAGAAAATCTTATTTCTTGAAAACACTATGAATAGAGATTTTGACAGGAGAATAAACAATGTCCTTAAAATACTGACTCCATGTGTATTCTGAAAAAAGACGCCTTGCATACTATGAACTTGAAAATGATACTATCATCATTTGGAATTCATTTTCGAATACTTGTTCTTCTAGAAATGAAAGCTTATCTCTAAGGCTGGTGATTAGCTTGCAGAGGTACACATTGTCATTGAATAGACCGCAGAACCCCTTTTCGCAACTCATGAACTTCAAGAACCTCTTCAGCAGCATCGACTGTAAAGTAATCTAGAAAATGTATTAACAACTCGGAGTGTCACAAACCTTTAGAACCCTCATACAGTAGGTATATGATGATGCCATGTGCCAAGTGAATAACAAAAATAGCTCACTGAAGCCTTTGAAGTGAAAACACGAGTAAAACAAAGCTGTGTACTATAACCGATTATATTCCTGATCGTGGTGAAATTGATCCTGCAACAAACTGTGAGTAGCAAGAAGACGGGAACTTTTTAGATGAACTATGAAACTCTAGAAGATTTGAACTTCGCAGATCATTTCCGTCTCGTGTTTCACCTACAGGTGAAAACCACTAAGTTGGAATAAGAGGCAGGCAGCTAAGAGAGGACTTCAAGTGAACATTAAGAAGAAATAGGTGACGAAAATACCTTACAAATAACAAGCCCAAGTCATGATCAGTGAGAGAAATCTGAGGGAAGTCACCTCGTCCACCAATCTGAGGAGCATCATTTCAACTGCAGATGGACCGAGAAGACGACATAGACTTTCATTACTCTGAAATCAGAGTGGAAATCCAGTACACTTATCATAAAGAATTAGATCCGAATCCTCAACATTAATGTCAATTCAGTGCTTCTATAGGGTTTACAGACTTAGCTTAAGCGTCACTATATAGATTTCCAAAAGGTGGCTGAAGACTTCTGCCAACATCAAACTACAGGTCGGAAAGGATAAGTAATAAGGAAATCTGGCAACGAATCAGCCAACAACCTATTTCCCAACAAACACGTAGGAAGAAGTGGAGAGGGACTGGACACAAGCTGAGGAGATGTTTCAGTGGTTTCAGGCGCAAGATGCTCGAGTGGAGCGCAAATGGGGAGTGAGTGATCTGTTGGGCCTCCAAGGGTGACGTGGATATCATGTGAGGAAGAAATGAAAGCTTATGGGCAGTCGTCAGGCTAACCAAGAAAGGCTATACAGCAAATAGTCAAATGGAAATATTCTTCTGAAGCCCTATGTTCCACTAATAACTCAAGGGAGTAATAATAGTAACTCTGGATTTTATCGAAATTGGGTGTATTTTTAATTAAACAGTCCCAACTGTTCACCTAAATAAACATCACTGATTTGCAGTAGTATCAGAAAGCTGTAAAAACAAATAAGGTTATATAATACAAAATGCAAATCACTTTCAAATTATTTATCGTAAGATTTTACAAATGGGTAAATTCTGATAACCTGATTTGTTTAAGCGACGCTTTAAAAAACCAGCTTTCAAAACTTTGGTGTAGATATTTAAACACTGAGCTGAACCTAACTAAAGTGTTAGACGGTTAATCTCTTGGTTAAGATCATTCTATCTGTATTATAAACTGAATTAATAACTATTAAAGCAAATCATCTTAAGACTGAGGACTTTTATTTGTCATTTACACTTTGTGATTACCCTACAGCACCACAGAATTATTGACAGATGAATCTCAAACCAAGTTTTGAAGGGTATTCCGAGAGTTTCCGGTAGTACGTGCCCACGCTCTCACGGGGGATCGAAACCAGGACCTCCTAGTTACGAGGAAAGCCCGCTGACTACAAAGTCACTGGGACGGAATTCGATGACCAGCCCATAAATTCTAATTCTTGCCAGTTGGCGACCTATATAGGTCAATGTCCAGTCAATATCATTCCCGAGTATTCATCCCCATCCCCAACTTGGTGGTAGAGAATTGCATTGTACCCATATTTTGAAGTTTTACTGTTATATCACATTTAAGAAGAAGTATATTTTAACCAAGTTAGGGAACTTTCAGAAGAGCAGCAAAGCAAGTTACTTATTTCACTTATAAATACTAGAAGTTATTCAACAAATAAAAAATGCAGATAATATAACTGATGTATGTTGACCAGCTATTTTGTTTACTTATTCATATTTTTTAACCTCTTTATTTTCTGTTTTCTAATTTTTTAAAAGGTAATTCATACAGAAGGTAGCAAACGTGTTATGAATGGATGTACACAGGTTGGAAAATGGCGTCCATTTGTGCATGCTCAATATTTAAACTGTTATACATATGACGTAAATGAACGTTATCGAGATCATGTAAGAACAATAGAATTATTCGTCTACTTAGATGAGCCAATGAATGTTACATTTTGTGCAGATTGTTTTAGCTCAGAAATAAAATCTCAGTTAAGCGGAGCTGTAGTTACTGTACACAATGCAGAAACTTATCCAGACATAAATCAGGAAGGAATCAATATCCAGCCTGGTAGTTTAACAGAGATAAAGGTTAAAACTATCAAGCATACACAAAAAACACCACCATATGGTCGCTGTTCTCCTGATACTCCAACGACAATTAATCTCTATGGTTCTCAAGTGTATGCGTATTCAGAACACGCATGTCGAATGAGTACAATTCAGGTGAGTTAGTATCCTATTAAACTGTTATTTTACGCAAAGACTGAAATTTCAGTATTTATTATTTTGAGACTTTTTACGTTCTTGTTTTACTTAGTAAAATCAATTGACCGATAGTTACTTAAGAAAAAAATAAATCATGATATCACCTTATTATAACAGCAGTTACCGTCATCTGTGAAAGACTTCATCAAAACCAGACTAGGCTGAGCATTTGTGTATTTATAGCAAAGGCGTAAGAATGTTCGAGAATTGTTTCCGGTTATAATTCAAAATCCAGAGAATAACATAATGTAGTTGCATAATACCTCGTCAGCATGCACATATGAGTTTGCTTGCACCTGTGGAGCTGTATACATTCTTCCTGCCATGCCTCCATCTGTAAAAGGCACCATATGGAGTCTACCCAGCCTGGTAAGTTAAAGAAGAATGGAAATGTGTCTTTAATTCGATAACAGAACACCTAGTGATCTCATGACACTTAACACCATTTGAGAAATCCTTTAAAGTCTTATACGAGGTGCAATTAAACCTCTCAAACGGTGTGAGATAAAGATATGTAAGCATGAGTGAAGCACTAAATAAAACTTCTAGTCAACGTTATGCATCAGAATGAAGTACGTTCAGCCTTTGTCTTTGCTATGACCATCATAACCATGCTATTTTATGAAGAAAATCATTGATTTTTAATTATATTTTTCATCCATTCTTTCTGCTTACTTTTTATTTTAGTTCTTACTTGTATTACGTGACTTCATTTTATTGTTTGCTACATCTTGACCTATGATCAGAAATACTTCCCGATGGCTCCATTGAAAGGGAATATTTTCCTTCCCTGTAACCATCTTTCAGAAGACTAAATAACATTGATTTTCTGAACTATAAATCAAGAAAACTTATGTCATGGATGGTGATGAAATTTTTAATGGCGTTCAGAATAACCATTCAAGAGGAAACTACTTTAACTGCTATTCACAATGTAAGCACAAACAACGACACTGCTGCCGGTACGCAAAAACAAGAAATGAAGATGGATTGTTGGTAGCAGACGTTTAACTGTCTCAAACAACAGTTGAAACACTTTACAGCAATGCCAAATATACGGGTTTTAAATGATTTTGGCAAACGCTAAATCCAATGACAAGTCAAGGTAGTCATCAATGAGAGTTTAGCCTTCACGAGGAGTCAGAAATACGTAAAGTGCTATGAATACCTAATAACCATGAAATATATTGGGCAGTAGTATTTTAAACAATCAACAGGAACTGTTATAGAGTAATAAAAGGCAATGAGATGATTTTTCTTAAGGACACACAATAATAAGGATCATGAAAGTAATAAAAATAAAAATAGTAACTTAATCAATAGTTGTTAATCATCTGAGAATATTAAAACTGAAAACAAAAAGAAAAGAATCAGATTTTATTTTCCCGTTTCAACAATCACAAAGAAAACTAACTTTTCTTCACTACAATTTTTGTATTAGGCTGAGCCTTAAAACATACTAAAAGTTTTCAGTACACAGAGACTTCAAAGAAACAGAAAAAAAGAATAAAATAACTTCGAAATCCTAGTAAATTATTTTAGGATATAATTTAAGTATTGAATGCTCTCGAATATAAAGTGAAAAAGCTTCAGAATCCAAATTATTTTAAGGTTAATCATACTGCTTGAAAATGAGTCGGTAATTCAGTGGTAAAATGCTCCTTAGCAACGCTAGATGTCCAGGTGTGATTTTCAACCGATACCTGATTTACTAGCCAATAATAAACCTGGGAAAGTAAAGAGATTGAACGTATGGCTGGTAACCCCACTGCAATAAACAACATCACCACCACTGAAACTTCAAAGCTTGAAGCCCTGTGTTCCCCATTCGGACCGCAAGGAATAAAAAATACTATTTGGAGGGGATTTTATTAAGTGACATCCATGTCAAAATCCTTTGTAAATACTGCAGTTCTTATTTTGTTAATAATAACAATAATTTAAGTTCAGTTCAATGAGTATTTACCAGATGATGTGCATTTGTAAAGCTGTTTACAAGAGTTAGTTTCTAGGGATTTGATTTGTTTCAAGTTCAAGTGTCAGTTAGAAAACTGTTGAAAGCCAGGGGACACTGGACGGCCATTTCGCCCCAGCTTAGAACTCTTCACAGTATGCACCCAGCAGGGTTCGAAACCAGGACCATCTGGTTACAAGGCAAGTTCGTATACCATTCAGCCACTGACACTCGATCCAATGGCTCATAAATTCTAACTTCTATCAGTTCCTGATTTCAGCACGAATACTGCTCAGTGTCACCGGAAAATATTTGTATTCATGCCTGACCTGGTGGACACCACTGCTCATGACTTCTCACTAGATATGCAGGCAACTTTTTCCGGAGCGAGTCACTAGTGAACATCAGGAATTGTCAGAAATTAGAATTCATGGGCCTTTGGAACGGGTCCTCTTGACTGAATGATCCACGAGCTTGCCTGGTAACCTGGTAACCGTAGAGTCCTTGGTTTTATATCTGTTGGGTGCGTACTGATGAGACCGTCCATTAGTCCCTGGTTTTCAATGGTTACCTCTTAAAAATTAAAATTTATTAAAATTTTAAATTTATTCCTGTGCTTTCCTAGTAGAACATAGGGCTTCAAGCTGGAGCTTTGAAGTTTCAGTAGCAGCGGTGGTTATTTTTACGCTATTGGATTGCTAGCCTCATGACCAATCTTCCCTCTTTACCGGGCTTACTACTGACTAAGCCAGGTTTAGGTGTGCGTCGGCGGGGCACCCAGCCCCGGACGATTTAATTGGTTGGCGAGTGTTCTGCCGCTGAATCACTGCTTTTCTACCTGATATTATTCCATCTTCAAACTTTAAAGTTGTATGCATTGAAAGCAACAGAAACAAAACTAGCACCATTGGTAAGAAAAGAATTTGAAGTTAGACAGTACAAACCGTATATAAACTATCCCTCAGCAATCTATAGAGAGCTTATCTGACTTATTTTAAATGATGACGCTGTTATTCATAGTTGGTTTTAGTAGTCATATTTACTTTTTTCCATTTTATTTCTATCGGTATATTTAATTTACAGATCTTTTGTTTTTACTTCACAAGATCAACTTTCTCTCTACGGAATGACCAAACTTGTTGATCTTGTTCACTTTAATGCTCATTTACTAAATATTCTTTTTCTGTATTCCATTCCGCGGTAATCATAGCTTTTCATCAGTAGTGTATTCGTGTATTGAATAAAAAATGGTATATGTTATCATGTTTATCATGATAGAAAAGTCGGAGATAAATAATATTTGATTTACTTCCCTTGCCAGCATTCAAAGTTGTTTTGTTGTTTTTTTAATCTTCTTACTTTTGATTTTCATTTTTTAACATTAAACTCTCTATCTTGAAAGCATTATCTCCATTTATATTTGTCTTTATTCCTTCCAGGAGAAACGACTTGACATTAACCAGAAAATTTGGACTATCTTGTTGGAGTTTATATATATTTATGTTAGGACATGAGGAGAAGTATTACAAGTCAGTGTTTCCCATATGACGTATAATTCAGGCAGTTGAATTTAACGTAAACTAAAGATCGGTAGTTTAGGGTTGGAATGCTCATCAACCTCGCACGTGGCCCGGAGAATATTCCCGGTCGATGCACTCATAAGCCACGCCTTGTTCACTAGCTGGCAGTAAGTCAGCTAAAGAGGGAAGCTAAAATATTATTATGAATATTAGAACATGACATATAAGCAAACTTTACTATTTTCAATTAGATCTTCAAACTTTAATTTACATAGGTTTATATATAGAAAATTTGACCAATGATGGTGAGTTTATGAATCAAATAATAATAATGTGTTAAGTGTTTTGAACGTCAGTAATAAAGATGATTATAATGACAACAAAATAATGATAATAAGATTTATGCGTTAAGAATGTGGAGAATCATAGTGTTAAAGACGTTTTCGAATTCATTTCCAACACTATTATTATTATCGTTCCCTTGGGTTCCTAGTGGAACACAGGGATTCAACTGCACGTCTCCACTTGCTTCTGTCTTCTGCTGTACTTTTCACTTGCATCCATGTTAGTCCATACTGTTTCAGCTCCTCTTCACACGATCTCCTCCATGTCACCCTTGGACGTCCCACTCTCCGCTTCCTTTTCCGGTTCCACTCGAGCGATGGCCTGACGCACGATGTCACCCCGCGGTCTCCTCAGCGAGTGTCCAATCCGTCTCCACTTTCTTCTGCGTATTTGTTGGGCGATTGGTTCTTGTTTTGTTTGTTCCCATAGTTTCTTGTTGGTTATTGTTCTTTCCGGCCATCTGATCTTCAGTATAGAACGAAGACATGATGTCAATGTAAATGGGAAGCATATTCTATCCTTAGATATCGCATCCCTGTTCACCAGTGTACCACTAATAGATACTGTGGAATTCATATGTCAACAAATACTAGAATAGCAGTCCGATATCGTAATTCAAGTGATTAGTCTGAAAGAGAGGCTTCCAAGATGCACTATGAATGTACAATTCACATTCAACAACTTTTATTACAGACAAACCGACAGTATTGGCATGAGTTCTCCATTGGGTGCAATTTTGGCAGACTTCTTTCTTGCTAAGCTTGAAATGGTTCATTGAAACAAGTGATAGATAAAATGCACTTTTATTTTCGTTATGTTGATGATACGTTTGTTATTGTTGATGAGAAAGCTGACAAAAATGAAATGTTGATAAAATTTAATGATGCACGTCCATTGCTTACCTTCATGTGTGAAGAAGAACATGACGGTAGACTACACTTCCGTGGTGTCGAGTTAAGCAGAAGAAAGAATGGTTCACTCAAGAGAGATGTCTATTGAAAGCCTACGTCTCTAGGACAATATACATATTTCCTCAGTTTTGTACCAATCCGATATGAAATCAATTTGGTAAGATGCTTCACGAATACAGCAAGAAGGATCTGTAAGGATGACTTCCTAGAAAATGAATTAGGATACAT